TGAAACATGGAATAAATCCATTGAAACATAACAATTGAGTTGAAAAATGACAAATATAATGGATCAAATTAAAGCATGTTTGCAATTCAACAGGAGCCCCAAGTTGAAGAATCAAAATGAGCTAATAAGATTAGATGATGACATGCCAATATACCATTACCCTTAACACTATATCAGGAGGGTTCGCTAGGGGCAGAGAAACCAATCTTGCTCGTAGGAAATATGCTTGCCAAATCACGAGTATAGGCTTCACCCACTAGCCCTGATTTGGGATCAAAAGAAACTTTGAATCCCGAGATCACTTCTCAAGGAAGGATGTCGTTGGACTCCATGCTTGTGACCATGAACCCATGGTTATAATCTAAGGTGTGACAGTTGGGAAATTAAGTGAGTATCAACTGATTAGGGGAGTTGTGCGAGTATTTTTTACTAGGACGCCTTCAAAAGGCTTTGGCTAAACCTAGACGATCTAAGAGCTTTACAAGGCTTACAATTTAGATTCTTTGGTGAAAAATTGTAGGTAAAAGGCTACATCACCCTAAAAACCATATTCAGATTGAAGGAAAACACAAACATGATCAAGGTAAGGTACCCTATGATGAACTACACTTCCCAATAGACGTGTGAGGGTTGTCAAAGGTGATGAGGAGACCACTTGAAGGTGCTAGCATATGAACATGGTGGATTTGAAGTCGAGATTAAAGTCCCGAAGGGAGAAGACAATGCCCTTTGACAAATGTGCCACCAAACAAGGAGACCGTGCCACAAGAGTTAAAGAGCAGAAGCTGGCTACACTATTTCAAGAAAGTGAGGATTTATCAATTAAGCATGGCATGGAAATCTTAAAGGGATTGATAGATTTAATGTCACATTTTAGTTAGTTATGTTATTAGTTTGCTGATTAAGGCGATGTGTCACCTCTGCCAATTGTATAATTTCTTTTAAGGACATGAGTTGCTTGTAATAATGGGGTGAAACTTTTTTTTTCTCAGGTGGGAATGGGTTTTGAATGAGGTGACTCACTTTTTAATAAATCTACATACACCTTTGTTTGAATTTACTAGAATATTATGTGTATGGAATGTTGAATCCTTAATATGTATCCTTGCTGCCCAAGTGACATATGTTACGCTAGATCCCCACTGAGGTATCCTTATCGTCCAAGTGGAAATAAAATAACTTGGATCCTTAATGAGGTATCATTTCCATCCAAGTGGAAATATATTATGGTAGATCCTTGATATAAAATCCTTGCCACCCAAGGGGAAGTTGAACGTCAGACCCCCTAAAAAGAATTTTGGCCGCCCTTAAAGGCAGTTGTACAATGAGCCCTAACTAAACATAAGTATAAGAAAATTTCCCGAAGGCACAAAATATTATATTAAAAAAGCCCAGTGGGTGAAGATTACAAATGGCCCAAAGGCCAAGAGTGATAAAACCCCCAAGGGCGTGATTACACTAAAAGCAATTAAGGGCGTGATGATAAAACTCAAAAGAGAGGGGGACTACTAATCCTGATCGCCATTTGGAGGTTAAATTTCTTCTTGTACAACCTTCTCGAGGATGACTTCCCCATCATGGATCTCATCCATCTCTACATGGGCGTCATCCTGCTCAACTAGAATATCCTCTTTAGAATTAGGAACAACCGTCTTTGGAGGAATCTCACCCTATTTATCCATAAGTTGGAAGTCTCTGACCACTCTGAACATATCTAATTAACTCTAGTCCAAGTTCGGTAGAGGAAGGCCACCTTTTCTTTGGCCCGATTAAAATACTGGTCAAAAGTATCCACCAACTTATCATTGAAAGAAAATAAATCATCCTCTAGCTTCTTCTTAAAGAGAAGGGAGGCCTACAGAGACTCCTTCAAATTTATTTCTATTAGAGCAAGCTTTTTAGCATCCACCTTCCTCGTTGCCTCTTTAAGTTTCACCTCCAAACTTTTCAGCATGTCACACTCCTTAGTCATATTTTTCAATGACTCATGCTCTTGAATCAACACCTACTTTGTAGAGATCAAATTAGCTTGCACGCCACCCACTAATCTATCCTCCATGGCATGAGCCTTAAGGAGAATTTGCTTTATAATCATACTCCTCAACATGCAATTTTCTACCATATTAGATAAGCCCCTAGTTCCCATTTGTTTGACAACTTGAAAGTCATTGGGAAAGTGTTAATGAAAAGGAAGTCGAGTGTTGGTGTATTTATGTGCATCAAAATTATCATTCTAGAATGATGAATAAATTTTTTTTGGGCGCCTTATAACTAAATCATGCTCTTCCATTTCCCCTTCTTCCTCGTCTTCGAGGTTGACGATGACCTTGTCCTTCTAATGGGAGCAGAAGAAGAACTCCCTCAAAAACTTTTTGGATTCCTAGTTTTGAGGGGGAAAGTGCCAACAATGGCGTTTCCTTCAACGCATCATTTCTTTCCTTTAAAAATGAGGCCACCTAGATGAATTTTTGGATTGTTAATTATGCCAACCTTCTTTTTGGCCAAATGAGCTTTCGTCTCAGAAATTGAAACATGTGACATCTTTTCTAAAAATAATAAGTGTTATTACATGTGACTGGAAATATTGTTTAGGCAACTTGTGAAGCGAGATGTTCTGTCAAGTTGTAAGACATCCTACGGTTTAATGGAAATCAATATGTTAAGGAAAATTCCCAGCAATATGTGAGACATCCTGCTTTGCTCTATTTGCTAGTACTTCTTGTGCTTTTGGAGATTTGCTTCCTTTTTATATGCAATCAAAAATTTGACTGTTTATGTTTTAAGAAATATTTCATCTAAATTTGTTTTAGCAAGATTAATTTTCATATTTCTAAGAGATTTAGATTTATTCAAGATTTGGTTCAATTAATATTCGAATTCATCATTATGAAGATTGATCCAATGTGCTTTTGGAATTTCACATGCTTTCAAACCAAAATCCTACAAGGCCCTCGAGATGAACTTGTGTTACTATTTAAGGAGTCATTCTCCTTTGTTAAGACTTAGACCTTGTGCTACTAAGCTTTATGTGTTTTGTTGTTACTCAGTCTTGTTTTGTTTGTAATACTTTATTCCTGAGTCATATTTTTAAGTTAGGAGAATATATTATTTGAGTTGAATTATTGTTTCATCTTTCATATAACTTTATAATTTTCTAAACAAGTGAGAGATTGTTTGAGTGAACGTGAGAGGGGTCTCCGATTTAGGTGGAGCATGTATTGAAGTTCACAGGTAGTACTAAGAAAAGAGGTATTGAATTGAGAGAGTTAAAATAAAATCAATTTGTACTTCTGGCTATTAAGAGTGAGTTTCTTTTCATTTGGTTAATGACATTCAAATGTAAGTGATTTTGCATTGAACTGGGTTACCAATTTCTTTGTTATTTGCGTTCTACTTTTATTCTTTAGATCACAAATACTTATCGCCATCCACATTGTTCCACTATTGTTTCTGACATCTTGTCATTAGTATAACATAATTTCAATAAGAAAAGGCGATAAGCAATGAGGCGTAAAATAACCCTAAACTAGAAATAAATACAATAATAAATTTACGCAAATACTTACTAAAATTGCTATCATCCCTCGATCGAGCTCTACAATTTTCTTGGAGCTCATGATAGAGAAATCATGCAAGAAGTTACCCGTTAGGTCCTCATTCCAACACAGATGGAATCCATGGGTGCCATCCTCTCTAGTCGTGACCATGAAGGTGCTATTTCCCCCTTACTCTCACAAACATATCCTTCTAATTTTTGAAGTGGTTGGAATGAGGATTGAACAAGGTTTTTCCTGCCAATGCTCTCAGGGTCGCCCAACCTCCTCTCAACCCGATTTTGAGACGGAGTTTCCCATTTATAAAACTAGAAGCTAGGTCGAGTAGGAAATGATGAGCTCTTACTAGGCGTATTAAAGGTTATTGTGAAACCTTCCCACATCTTTGACAGGTGTAGGATCCCATACTGATTTATCTTCCCAAGACAAACCCATAATATAAGAATTTAATTTTGCACATGCCACTATCAGAGATGCTTAAGGGACTCACTCCAATTTTTTCTTAAATGACTTACCCTAGGTTTTTCTTGAGAGACTCGTCCTAAGCCTCGCTTGAGGGACTCGCCCCAAGTTTTTCGTGAGCTACTCACCCATAACTTATTTTGAGGGAATCACCCCCATTCCATTAGGATGAGTTATGAGATATATTTAGTTGAAGAGATTTCCCAGGATCACACACCCTCGCGTTAACCACTTCTCCCTTTTCGAGACCTCATGATAAAGAGATTATAGACCAAGATAATTATACTATACCTTGGAAGGAATAATCCAAAAGGTCATAAGTTGAGCCAGTTACATTAATATTGGGCAAACGCCCCTGGGTCAGACCACATGCCTCCCAGAATGCATGAGAAGTCGCATGTTGGACATATACTTAGTCGCTCTAACCGAACTAAGTTTTCTATTGAATAAACAAATGAGATACATGGTTTGTGCAAAATCAATCAAGGGATAAGGAATAACTGCTTCTTCCAAAAATGTAGGAAGGATCCAGTCCTCCCATTTCTACACTTTTGACCGAAATGAGGAGAAACCGCTCCTCTTGGCCTCTAATCCAGGTTCAAAGGGTTTCTTATATATACCATATTTCTAGAAAGGAAGAGGAGTAATGAAATTCCCACATACACACACATATGAGGTTTCCCCAACTCTTAGGTGGGCGAGCTCTCAACACACTAGAATATTCTAAAACGCTAAATAGCCTTACGCAAACAAGGCTACCTCTCATTATATTTTTTTTATCAAATACAAATTCAATTTTTATTTTTGAATTCTTTAATTTTTAAGTTGTAAGTTAGCGAGTGAGATTTATTTTAAAGATAATATATATAAAAGTGACTTATAATATATCTCATGTAATGTGACTTATTTTTGTAATAGTAGGTCACTCAAGAGTATTGGTTATGAGGTATAGATTTTTTATATGACTATATTTTGTAATTGTAGGTACCATTTAACAGATTCAGTTAAAGAGGGTGGCCTTCCCTTTAACAACGCTTTTGGAATGACTGTTTTTGAGTTTCATGGCACAAATCCAAGGTTTAACAACCTTTTCAACAAGGGCATGTCTGATTCCTCTAGTATCATAATGAAGAAAATTCTTGAGACATATTCAGGTTTTAAGAGTCTTGATTCTGTTGTTGATGTTGGTGGTGGGATTGGAACTGTTACTAACATGATTGTCTCCAAATATCCCAACATTAAAGCCATTAACTTTGACCTGCCACATGTCATTAATGTAGCTCCATCTTACCCAGGTGCATTTTTTAATTTACAAACAAAGTTGAGAAATAACAATTTAGTATTTTAAATTAAATAATGCATGCAGGTGTGGAACATGTTGGTGGAGACATGTTTGTGGGTGTTCCAAAAGCTGATGCCATTTTCATGAAGGTGATGATTTTATTAATTTGAAGCTCATTACTTTGTTTTCTACCATGTTTCCAAAATATAATATATATTTTGAGAACAAAAAATTGAAAATGTGTTTTGAATGCAGTGGTTATGTCATGACTGGAATGATGAGCAGTGCTTGAAAATATTGAAGAATTGTTATGATTCACTTCCTATCGCTGGGAAGGTGATAGTAGTTGAATCCATAGTTCCAGTAGTTCCAAACTCTAGCCTGGCCTCAAAAAACGTGCTTCAAATGGATGTTATTATGTTGTGTCATAGCTCTGGTGGAAAAGAGAGAACAAAAAAAGAGTTTGAGGCTTTGGCTAAGGGAGCTGGATTTCAAGGTTTCCAAATTGCATGTTGTGCTTTCAATATGTATGTTATGGAATTTCTTAAAAATGCTTAACTCTAACATTTTCTGACATTTGTATCTTTTGTCAATTAATAAATTGTTTTATTTACTTTTTGTCAAAAAGTAAAATGGCTAGTATTTATTGAGCTTTAGTTCCATTATACTAAGCATGTTATAAAATGGTTGGTATTATATGGAAGATTACAAGTTAAAGATGTAATATTGAAAGAGTATATATAAAGTTGTATTTCTTACCTTTTTATAATATTAAAGTCTATCGATCACACCAATGTTGGGTGTGAATGGGTGCGTTAGAAAGTTTTTAAGTCTTACATTGATTAAAGATAGAGAATTGAAAGAGTGTATATGTATGTATGTGTGTGTGTGTCTATATATATATATATATATATATATATATATATATATATATATATATATATATATATATATATATATATATATATATATATATATATATATATATATATATATATATATATATATATATATATATATATATATATATATATATATATATATATATATATATATAATCTGACTTGATCAGAAAGGTCCAATGGTCGGCCATGCGTCGTTGGAGAGAGAAAGGGGGTGTACGTGCAAGGCACTCCGAAGCTCAAGTGAGTAAAGGATCAGAGAGGAAGAGAAAGTACAAAAATCAGGTGTGTAGAAGAAGTTACCTGACCCTCTAGTGAAAGAGAGTATTTATAGTGTGCCCTAGCGCGGGACCTGACCCTCTAGTGAAAGAGAGTATTTATAGTGTGCTCTAGCGCGGGGCCAACGGCTACTTGGATTGGACTGGACTGGCAGACCCAATACAAGTAACTGTTAGAGCTTACGTGACGTAATGAAGACCAGTACGTGGTCTTTGCCCTATATCAACTACCCCCATGATCTCCGGAAGGTGGGTTGACCGACTCTTTTAGAAGTGGGTAGTTGCATGTTGACGTGCCCTCGCATGGAGAGCACGTGGAGAACGTGTTATGCGCTCCCCACAATGTAGCAGGATTCTGCCCGACGTCCATGGGCCTAGATAAGAATGCTGCCCAACACACATGGCCTAAGTGAGGCTACTTACAAGACACTCCGATGTCAAAGTAAGTGACGGGCAGAGCGGGAATAAGTACAGAGAGAGAGAGAGAGAGAGAGAGAGAGAGAGAGAGAGAGAGAGAGAGAGAGTAAGTTACCTGACCTCTAATGAATAGGGTATTTATAGTGAGCCTCAAGCGCATAGCCAACGGTTACCTAGCACTAGGATGGGCTGCCAGGCCCAATGTTAGTAACTGCTAAGGCTGACGTGGCATCGTGAAGACTGACACGTGTTCTTCGCCCTAGAGTAACTATTCTGCACTATCAGGGAGGAGGAAGACCGAGTCTCTAGGACGTGGGTAGTTACTTCATGACGTGTCCCTGCGTGAGGTACGCGTAGAGAATGTGGGGGAGGCTCGAGCAGCTCCCCAGGCAGACTGGACTCTGCCCGAAGACAGGAGGAAAGAGGCTGGCTGGTCGGCTGTGAGGGTCCTACCCGACAGCTGTTGGTCTATGCCCGACAAGGAGGGTGTTGTGCTCGACGGATCTTATGCCCGTCAGCATGGTCCTATTGGGTTCAGTCCTTGTGGGACTTGGGCCTGCTTGACTGTGGGTTAAGCGCCGACCCAGTCCAAAACAATAATGAATACAAATCGTTCAACAATTATCAAGTCACAAATCAATCAAATGCAAAGTTTTTGTAATGGTTATTTCCAACAATCAAAACAAAATGTTCTCATTGTCACTAACCATTAATTAATGTTACACAACAAGTAACACTGTATAGTAACATCCTCGAGTATATTATTTAGCTCTTACGACCTCATCATGAGGTAGTAATATGTGTTAGCTTTTCAAAGGAGTCAAGAAACTCAATTTATGCGCAAAATGACACACTTGGTACAAAATTCATGGAGCTACTACGACTATTAATTGCACCTACTACGACCTATAGCACTCCCTACCAAAATCCCCTTTTGGCACACCTCTGGTACAAAAACCCAGAGGTCTGCTACGGCCACCCGTAATAGATGCTACAACCCGTAAAAGTTGTACATGTCGTAGCTGTTAGAACACAGATTGGTTCTTAATATATCTCAATGTTTTGATGATAACATTAATGAAATTTTATATAGAGAAAATATATACTCTAATTTTGTTCAAGTGTTTTTGTTTCAGATATCAAATAAATATTCATCTGAAGACAAAAAGAATTCCTCTGAACATTATATAACGTAAAGCTCTGAGCGTAGAAAGCGCAGCACAGAAGACTCTGAGCGCAGAGTATAAAGATTCAGTATATTCAGAAGACTCTGTGAGAAATCAACGTTGCAACCTACAGAGGCTCTAAGAATCAAGTCAACTCTGATCATTCATTCACGCTAAGCACTTTGCTGCATAACTCTGGATAGAGTGACTCTGATAAAGAAGAACATGGAACATCATCAGAGGATCTGATGCAAGATCATTTTTCATATCTATTCATTTGAAAAGATATTGTTCAAGAAAGATTCGTTTTTAAACCCAATATCTACCAACGGCACTATTCCTCATTCTTGTATGGCACAAGAATTTAGACAAAAAGGATATGTCTGAACATTCCTCTTCTGTGAAGGAAAAGTCAAAGAAAACAAAAGGTAACAGTTGCACGTTCTTTGAGAAATGGATGTGAAGTCTATTTAAACAAGTCTTCAACATTATTTCAAGATTGACAGAATACAAAACAATCAAAGAACATATTCAAACAACTTTCTTCAACAAACATACTTGTTTTATTTGTTCTTCATTTTGTGTAAAAATCACAATTGTGATAATAGTTTTTTAGAAACACTTAAACACATTGTATTTCATCCTTGTAAAAGTTTCTTGAGAGATCAATTTGTGGTCAGGATTCTTGAGAAGACTAAGACAGTTTGTCTTAGTGATATCACTGTAATCAGGTTTTGATTTAGTGGATTAAGTCCTTGTTTGAGAAAGGAAAAATCACCTTAGTCGGGTGGACTGGAGTAGTTTGAGTTCAAACGAACCAGGATAAAATAACTTGTAATTTTCTATTATCATAGTTGTTTTTGAAACCCTCATTCAACCCCCCCCCCCCTTTCTAAGTGTTTTTCCTACCTTCAGTAGTCGTGCTTAGAAAATCCTAATTTGCTTGTCGTTTTGTGAGATCTTTCTTGTTTTTCAGCCTTGCATCAGCCCCCAAACCTCATGTTTTGACCTCTAACAACTCCAAAACATATCATATCATAAGGTTCATGAATAGAAGGGAAATAAACACATCACAACATCAAAATCAAAATCATCGCATCAGATAATCATGCTCTTCACTGATACATAACACCATGATGGAAATGTAGTGATACGCGCCATTTAAAAAATGAGAAAATGGTGTTGTTGTGTAGCGAACATGACCTTTCCACATTTCATTACGGTTGGGTAATACAATCGTCATAAAAAATGACGCGCCATCTAGTTTTCTTTACCACGACCAATAGGCTGTGGTAAAAACTAGCGCACTTTCTATGACACCCTTTTCATCACAGACCATCAACCATGGTGAAATCATTATTAGTAATGATATGATTTTGCTCTGAGATAGCACTACAAGCAAGGAGTTGGCATTAGCTTTGATCCTAAGAACATACTCAACAATGGTTTTGTTACCTTTCATCATCAATTTCAACTCAACTCTAATTTGTCTAACTCGCGCCTTTATATGAGCATTAAAATACCTGTGAATTTTGTTCCATACTTTAAAGGTATGCTTGCATGATAAGAATCTAGGTAACATTAATTCTGAAATCATAGAGAGAAGCCATATGAATATAACTTGATCTTACACTATCCAAGACTCATACTTCTTTGAACTTATCCTTCTAATCGATCTTAATTTGTCTTGAACATTTATGGAATTTGAGGATTCAACACCTTACACCCCACGTTCATTTCTTACACAAATGTATTTTAACCAACTTAACCAACAAGCTTCATAACCAATATATGTGAAGGCCAAAATTTTAAAACAATGTTACATTTCAAAAACTATGACATACTTAGTAAAATTGATTGAAGAGTTCTATAAACACTAGAAATTTTATTTTTAACAAAATGCAAATACAAACAATTTATTAATTGACATAAAATACAAATGACAAAACATGATAACATGTTAAGCATTCTTTAAGAATTCAATAACATACTTGTTGAACCCACAATATGTAATTTGGAAACCTTGAAATCCTGCTCCTTTAGACAAAGCCTCGTACTCTTTCTTTGTTTTCTCTTTTCCACCAGAGGTATAACACAACATGATAACATCCATTTGAACCATAGATTTTGAGGACAAGTTTGAGTTTGGAACTACTGGATCTATGGATTCAACTACTATCACCTTCCCAATGACCGGAAGTGAATCATAACAATTTTTCAAAATTTTCAAACATTGTTCTTCATTCCAAGCATGACAAATCGACTGCATTCCAAACATATTATTAGTTTTTTTTCTTCTCAAGATACCTATATCTTAGAAACATGCTACATAACAAAACAACAAGATTCAAAATAATAACATTATCACCTTCATGAAAATGGCATCAGCTTTTGGAACACTCACAAACATGTCTCCACCAACATGCTCTACCCCTTCATTAGACACCCCACACTTATTAACTATATTACTAACATGAATTAAAATGATAAAGAGAAAGCTATTTTTGGTGAATTTCCAAAAAAAATCAATTTGAAATTATGCTCCCGGATGAATACTCAAGTTACTCCGATGACCTTCCTCCAATATCATCTTTTTCAACTCCGCATCGTCGGGAATGCAAATACGACCACGGAATTTCAAAACACCAAATTCATCAACCTTGAAATCTTCATTCTCATTCATCATCAAATCAATGAACTTTAAATCCAATTTTTGTTTTTCACAAACGGTCGCAAGAAAATCATTCGTAATATGAAGCATACCAAGTCTCACACTTCTCGGCGTCACTTCACAA